TCTATATAAGTGCCTCTAACTAATAAATATCTTTCTTCTATAAATTAGCTAAGTATACTTTATTTATTAAAGGCAATATTAAAGACTAAATTACTCTTTATATAGTATATATACTTTTTATTTAAGATAAGTTTACTAACTTTATTACTTTATAAAATAGCTATAAAATTTATATATAAAGAAATTATTAGTATATTAAATCTAGAATTTCTATAGACTTATATTATATATAAAATACTTTAAACTAAAGTATTCTACTAAGTTTTAATAATAATATAGCTAATTAATAAGCTCTATATAATATACTTATACTACTTTATAAAATTAATATTAAATTATTTCTTACTAAAATTATAAATAAATAGTATATAAAACAGCTAGAAAAGCTAGAATATTTTAATTATAAACTTAATAATTATACTTAGCTTTATATATTAGTCTACTTTTTACTATAAAATTAAATTTAGAATTATTTTAGAACTAGTTTAGAACTAGTTTTAAAATTAAGTTTAATTCTATATAGAGAAGCTTAAATATATATATAGTAATATTAATCTACTAATTTATATATATACTAATTATTTATAGTACTAACTTCTTTAAGATAATTTTAAGCTATATATAAGATTTAATTTTTAAGGTAATTTACTTCTATAAAACTTCTTAAAGTAAATATAAAACTTTTAAAATAAAGAAATTAATAGTAGCTAGTGCTTTTATCTCTTTTAAATAAGTTGCTATTTCTTTAAGCTATAAGTATAACTTATAGAACTTTTTATTAAAAAAAACTCTACTTACTCTTTAAGCTATATAGTATTATTAGCTATAAAGCTTATAAAAAGTAAATTATTAAAGCTTATTAAACTACTTTACTTAATTAAGTAAATTAGTAAAGCTAATAACTTTATATTTAAAGAGAGTATTATAATTAAGAGTAAATTAAATATACTTAAAGTTAGTAATTATTATCAGCTAATTAAGAGACTCTTTATATATAATATAGGTATAATAAATAGAGCTTATGTAATCTAGTTAATTACTAAGCATAAGATAATAGGGATTCTTAAGGTATAATAGAAGTAACTTTAGATATAGTATAAAATTGTATGTAATAGTATGTATTAAAGA